CTTTACAGCAATTTACAGACGAGTTCTGTTGTTTTTTTTAATTTTTTTACACTTTTGTTTTTACAGCGTGGCCGAGGACGGCGTACAAATCGTTAAAATAAAAAAAAAAAAGTCCAAGACCGAGTGGCGCCTAAATCCTATGGGGTCATCTCTGAGTGCGGCAGAACGCAACGAAGGAACAGACGGCACCTCCTTCCTACCCCCGAGGACTTCAACAAAGTGGAAAGGGACACTACGCGTGTGACCAAGTTTTTTACCAACAGCCGTGACTATTGTTTCAGCCTTACCGGGGGTGCAACGGCAGAGCCTGCTGGTTGGTCTGGCAACCCAGGCACCAATCATATAGCATGTTGGAATAAGGTCCTCGTGGGCGCCATTAAATACGTTCGTTGTTCGTTGGAACGTTGCTCGTCTGAGCCTCACCGCTTCGCGACGTTACAGTGATCCTCTTCCCGGCGCCCTCACAACCTCCGGTATAGACAAGTGACTGCTTCGACTCGTCACCCCAGATGATGCATTATTTATTTCAGAGCATGAAAAACAAGCAGGCCTCTCGCTCCGCTACGAATAGACCCTTCCAGAAATTCCTAAAATGCGTCACTCGGACCCCACGTGACCTCGCATGGCTCACGGAATTGTGGGGGCATTCTGATGTACCGCCCGTGTGACAGCACGGACGAGTGCTCAGCCTGAGTTGATAATACTCTGTTTCACCTTATGATGTACCGCAGGAAAGGCTAGAAGCGCGAGCTCCTTGCTCTAGGGCATTGACAACTTTTCATCGACCCGCGACTTATCGACAACATTTCCCCGCTGCTCGTTAAATCGACTACTACTACGACGCCCGATTGGGCATCGAAGGCATAGTCGTGCGCCCGTCATGCACCGTGAAGGCAACTTCGGCTTCGCTCAGGGAGTTTTAATTTAATCTCAGGCTCGAGTAGGCATCCCACCTAGTGGAACCGCCGATCGTTAAGTAAGGCTTTGCAATGGGGAGAATGTGCCACCGCTGCGTTGATGAGGCTCCTGAAGCCCTCTTCACAAGTCTGCGACATAAATGCCACAAAAAAGTCGATTTCTAAGGCTCTGTCGAGAAAAAGACACTGCCGATGAAACGATCTGTCGATAAAACATTGCTTGTCAATGAAACGATCTGTCAATACCGACAAGACGGATGGCAGTTTTGAAAAGCGCGGATCTTTGCTAGGCTCAGCATATAGAGCTCACACAAACTAACCCTCTTGAGCGCCAACTACCATCGACTTCTGATCGTTTCGTTGTCCCTGCTTCAAGGGACTTGCAACTCGCCGACGACAGCACCGACCTGAGCCGCAAGCGTAGCAACGTGTCCTTTTTTTTCTTTTCAGAAGGGTTTTCTTGTCACAATGTTTTCTTTTATAAGTTTTACGAGCTTGTTTAGTCCTTTTTTTTTATTATTTGGGTCAACTAATAGCTCGTGGGGAAGCGGCCACAATGCTGTTCACGTTCGCGGATTACGTATTTGGTCCCTAAGAGATAATCCACAAAAATACGCGAAAACACAAATAATAAAAAGAAAAGCACTCAAGTTATTTTCTTCTAGCAATTTGTTGCTTTTCTTGTCATTACTCTGTGTGTCAGTGGAGGTTCTCTAATTCCAGCTTCGTGCGCCTCCAATTTTTCTTGAAGGTTAGTGTTGGCTGTATTATAACACATTACACCCCCTTTTCTTTGGAACAGCCATAGGTACTCCCAAAGGTGTATCCGTTCAGAAAAAAAGGGGGGGGGGGGGGGGATTTGTAGACACGTAGTGACGTTTTTGTTCAAACCAGTGTTTTATTCAGTTGAAGTGTATTGATAGCAAAAAATTACTAAATTATTTGCGAAAGAAAGAGAAAATGAGAGAGCACAGTCTATAAAACCAGATTTCAAAATAATGAACCATATGCAACAAATCTTACAAACTAATAACACAAAGAAATTACTCCGTAGAAGCTGAACTGTTCTCGAAGTTCATATCCTCGGCCTTTCGCTGTCAAGTTATAATGCAATTCAAATTGGCGCCAAAGTGACGTTCGTTCTCTTTTGAAAGTAACCGTAACGGTATATAGTGACGTTTCTAGGACGATAACGAATCTTATTAACCCGTTAATTTTTGCTATTTCGTTGATTTTTTTTTTAACGGGCACATTGGTGCTTGGGCCCCACAGGTGCCAGAAAGCCCAATACTCAATATCGTTGCACCGCCCCTTGAAGCTGACAGAGCGGTGCGAGCTACACGTTTGCCGGACCAGACAACCGCCTCCATTTCATCGCCTGACAGCGCCCTCTGCGTGGATATGGCTGGTAGGGTGGGCATGCGGGGAAAGATCGACGTTTGAGTGGTCCAACGGGCTCGTAGCTTCCACCGCCCTGCCAGCTTTGGCCCTTTGCACCTGCCATCAAAGAAACATTTTTAGCGTTCAATCTATTTGGGTAAGTAATTTTGACTCGTTTCAAATGCCTCATACCATTGTAACGTGGGTGTATTAAGTAGTTCACGACGATGCCGAACGACACTATAATGGAAACCATGCCTTTAAAACTATTATTTAATATTTTAAGAACTCGGAATTCATTAATTATCCAATTATATTAAACTCTAACAATATCACTTTGACACAGACCAATACGGCATCAGGCTTCTTTATTGTGCGGTGAGTAGTTTTTGCAGTAACGAGTTTGCCCGTTTCCCCTGAAACACGCTCTTTATGTCAAAACAAATATTTTATACATTTTGGAATAGAACTCCACTTGCAGCGATTCTGGCGCATCAGGATATAGTGACAACCACTGTACAGTCAGCGTAGATTAAGATATATTTAGATGAATTACAACGATACAGTGTTTAAATACATGATTATACACAGTGGAGTTAATTACGCCTTTAGTAAAACAAATATATATGATCCGTCTACTACAAAAAGAAGCTCAAATAAATAAGGGCCTGACGAATCCCAGTGAGATTACATGAATACCAAATAAATAGCACTAAAAGTACGAATATCCTAAATTATCAAAACCGTTTTCATGAACGTGAAAAAAAAAACAGAATAATAAAATCACGCAAAAGAAAGACATACATACAAGTATTTCATGTAGCAAGCACATTGAATGATGTTATGGGAATTCAGCAACTGACACCGGTCAAAATGAAAAAAAAGACGAAGAATATTAAGAAATGAGATAGGAAATAGCACTGCATTTCTAAATCTTCGAGTAATATATATTCTGTTGCTGTCTTATGAGTAAAGCATTCGTTTCCAGCTTGGTGTGTGAAATAATTTAGAATATAATTTTATTTTTACATCTTAAAACTTTCTTAACTTTTGCAATATCCAAGATTGCTGCTATTGAAAGACATTAATTATTTTATTAATTAGTATATTTATGGTCATCAGTAGGCCAACTGGTAAAGAACACAAGTGGCCCTACAGAGAACCCGGAGGCTCCAGGTGCAGCACGAGATTAATGACTCTAGATGAATAAAAATACTAGGCTTCAAGTAATTATTTTTTCGAGTACAAAAAAGAATCAGGGTCGCTTCCTCTAAGGTAAATTCACAATTTAATCTGTGCTTGCAGGATACATAATAGGCTGAAATATTTTCGAACAATTCGAAAACTGCACTGCTCACGAGTAGAACTCCTGCAGGTCTATCGCCAAACGAAATGAACATGCGTCGGTGCTCGAGTATTTCGTTTAAACCCCCTCCACAACTGTGATGCACGTTGCTGCTTCGATCACTTGCGATGTATCTTCCGATGAGTGTCTAAACTGCTATAAGCCGCAAATGCTCTACCACAGGTCTCGCACCTGTACGGCTTCTCTCCCGTGTGAATTCTTTCATGAACCGCCAAACTGCCTTTCTGATTAAACGCCCTGCTGCACGTGTTGCACTTGAACGGCTTCTCTCCGGTGTGAATTCTATCGTGAGCTGTCAAGTCAGACTTCCGCACGAACGTTTTCTTGCAGGCATCGCAACTGAAGGGCCTCTCGCCAGTGTGTGTCCTCTCGTGGACGGCGACATCCGCTGCGGAAGAGCATGAGTAAGGACAGAAGCGGCACGGGTGCTTGTCCGGTCGTCGGTGCGTTTGCTGCTTGAGTGGGCCTGAATTGTTGGTCTGGGTAGAGGTGTCAATCCTGCGGCTGTCACGGTCGAAGGTATCCACTTTGTCGCCAGAGTATGCTTCGATCAAGTCTGTTGGGATCAGGGGGTTAAAGGTGGGTGAGGAGGAGTGGCAAAACCCGTGCGCCGACATCCTGGGTCCCGAGTGAAAGACGCGAAAGAGAGCGACAGAACACGAGAGAAAGAAACCAATGTTGCCAGCTGAAAGACCAGTCGCCAATGGTAATTGCGAAGACTGAAAACGCTCAGCAATATAAACAGTGATAATTTAACGTTGTAAACTGAATTCTGAGCTATTCTAACGCTTATAGAAAGCAGTGTACTCATTACGCTGCATTAACTTCCCTTCTGTTGAAATCTCGGAAATCTGGTGTTTGCTCGGTTTCGTATTCCTGGGGCGCGCCCACTCGCGCCCCGCCCGCGAGGACGGTTATCTGGTTTAGTTCAGTTTTGACGGGAGGCCGTACATCTGCGCGCTATGCAAAAAGAAAGCTTCGAAAGGAACGCGAATATCTTTCCACCGGTAAGTTTGCGGATTGTTGAAGTTCATGAAACTGCTCTGATGATATCATTATATTTGCGAAATCGGAGGCAGTCGGTAACAATGTGTCGGGCAGCATGCTCCGCCGCTTGCGGCTGCCAGAATGCATGGGAAAATGGCGGACCTTTTCCTCTAGAGTTAGTATGTACGATCTCTATGGTTGGGATGACACAACAGAGCAGGAAAAGTCGGCGCTGCTTTTATTGTTCTGAACATGAACTTTGAGTGCCTAGATGAACATGGTCCAGGATACCTACATTATGCCGGTGCAGCCTAAAGTAGGTATTCGTTCATTTGAGATGTTAAAAAGGTTCAATTGTAATGCCTGTAAATGTCTACAGGCGATCGTTTAAGACTCGATTCTGGCAGCCCCATGGTGCGGCAGCTGTGGTGGCTTGCACGTTCTGCTAACCAAGTGCGGAAGGGAAGTCAAGCCGCCGCGGTCGCTGCTGCACAGTGTTGGCGGTAACGTGTTACAAGTAACGTCGTTACCGGTAGCGCCCTTCTTTTTTCAGTAATGTAGTGCCGTAGTCATTACTTTTCTAAATCTAGATATTTTCTAAATTTTCCCTCCCTTTTTCCCACGCAAACATTTCCGCGTTAGAAAAACCCCAACCCCCGCTTGTCATCCCAAGGTCGAAACACGCTGTCGCCAAAATAAAACAAAAGCCCTGTTACCGTCAATTTATAAATAAAAACTAAGGCAAAAGTAACGTGCGTTACTTTTAGGGATGTCGCGAACCACCCTAGGTTCGATTTCGAAAGGTTTCGATATTTGCGAAGCGAACTGAGGTTCGATTCGAAAAATTTCGATATTTTCGTACCGACCGAGGTTCGATTTCGAAAAATTCGCAACTTTTGTCCACAGCGGAGTTTCGAATTCGAAAATTTCGAAGCTTTCACGGTTTCTAAAATTTCGAATTCGAATATTTCGAATCTTTTTTTACTTCAGGTTCGATAAATTCGAAGATTTCGAAATTCTTTGTTAAAAAAATTCGAAAACTTCGAACGCTTCGAATTTTTATAGACATAAAGTTCGAACAATTCGAAGATTTCGAATTTCTTTTGGCATAAAGTTCGAAAAGTTCGAAAGTTTCGATTCTCTTTTAACGCTAAATTAAAAAAAAAAAAAAAAAAACCTTCGAAGATTTTGAATTTTTTTCTAATCCAAGTTTTCAAAGTTTGAAGTCCGATTTTCAAGTTTTTCTACAGTTTCAGTTTCAAATAACGTTTTCAGGACTCACTGGTTTTCACAAAATCAAGTTTAGAAAAGTTAGGATGTGATATCTAGATTCTGCGAAGTTGGTCAGGCAATTAAATGAGACACGAGTGTCCCGGACGTGCTAGAATATTTGCCAGTGCAGAATTGTGACCGCCAGCCCGGGGGGGGGGGGGGGGGGGGGGGGGGTCTTTAACCTGCATCACGCAGTAGTGATTGCACGAACACACTGTTTTACGAGACTCATCCAGTTCGAAACGGCCAGGGGCGAGCAGGAGGTTGAGGCTCAGAAAAACCTGGAAGCGACCTGGCAAACTACCTCGCCACCCCCTTGCACGCTGGTAGTAATCCGATCCGGTGAAGTTTATAATTGTCCTGGAGGTTTATTTTCTGGGACGGAGGAATCGCCTCGCAAAAAGCACAAAAGCCGACACAACTCGAGGTCGAGGAGCGTTCTACCATACAAGTGGCGTCGGAAGAGGAAAAACGGGGGGGAAAGAGGGGTAGCGGGGGGGGGGGGGGGGGGGGGGGGGGGGGGGCTTCAGCCTTTTTTTCCCCCTTGCAGGTATTTTGGACTGTTAAAGAAAACAATACGGGGAAAGAGGGCGTGGTCGAGCTTATTTTAATCTGAAATTATTTATGCATATGTATAGCTACTGTCGCTCTTCACTGCATAAAAGGTTGCGTAGATGGTCACTGTTAGAAACTCGTTGTCAGAAGGCACTGCTCGTCACATGCTTAGTGGTTCGGAAGTTCAAAGCTATGTCTTTTCGACCTAAACACCTGTGCCGATAGTAACAAAAAGAAAAAAAAAAAAAAAAGAATAAATGCGGGAATAAAAAGCAGGAGAAAAAAAAAAAAACTATCAAGAATTCGTCGGAAGTGTTCTATTCTTGCATATTCAGAGGTTCAGAACTTCGAAACAAGTTTCTTTTATTAAAATGTGTACAGGCTAAAAGAAACACGTCCCAGGAACGTGAAGCGAAAAAAAAAAAAAAAAACGTTTTCTTTTAATGACGTGCTGAACTTGAACACTAC